GCCTGTCTCAGTTGGTGTACACATCTGTAGGCTTGCCTAAACAGTTTTTCGCTTTCTTAGGTGGATTTCAGCTGTAATTATTTTTCACAAAAATTGGGAAAAGGGCCACTGCCCTCTTCCAACGTAATTTTTCATTCTCCCAATCCTTCCAACATAGTATCTTAACATAACTGAACGTGAGAATCACTTCTTTCTTTTCTGTTGGCCACTGTGGAAGCTCTTATTTATCAGCAAAAACGGGACAGAGCAGTGTGTCCTGTGGTAACACAGGGGTTAGACAGTGAGTTCTCATTCCAGAGACCCAAATGCTCCCACATCCACGCAAAGTTTGTAGCGCTGAGTTCAGGGTGAGGCATAGACTCCTACTCTCAGTTTGTGACCATGGAGCAGCACCAGGATCAACCCTTGTACTGCAGGCGATGGGCCACAGTAACAGCAGGGCTCACTGGCTTTGGGCTACCAACTCCAAATGACAACAAAAGGGATGACTGCAGACCATGAACCTGATTTCTTACCTGTTTCTGGACAGAAATGTCATTGTAGCTTGTTCACAAAGAGCTGATGCTGGGGACAGAAAGAAAGGGAACTGGCAATGTTGAAGGATTTAATTTTTTTTTTTTTCCAGATTTCTTGTTTTCATAATTTATGAAGAAGGATGCTTCCTGCCATAAAACACCAACTGGTTCCTGTCTCCCCAGTCATGCTGACATTCCTGCCACTGGTTTCCACGTGCCCACACATGCTTCCCCAGCACCCCTTCCTGCATAAGCCACAGTTTGTCTCGGTTTCAATGCAAGCAAACAGAAAATGGCTGATCGCTACTGTCTGAGTTAAAGGAGGCATTATGTGTACTTTATGCTGTTCAGCTGGCAGAAATTCAGAGAAGGAACTTTGTGATACAGTGAGAATGTCATCCATCACGGGCAATGACTCCTGGTGCCAGCTTTCACATCAAGGTCAACTGAATGGAAAGCGTTGGGTAACAGGAGCTGAAAGGCTTGATCGTGCAAACAAGCTGCCCAATCAAAATGAGAACACACCTCCATGTTCTACACTTAAAATAGAGAAACTGAGAGAGTGTCAAATTCTTTAATTCCAGAACAATAGCAACTGGGAGCTAGTTAATGTTCAGCCTTCAGAGCCATTAACACTACAGGCACTTGTGCCTTCACAGCTGACCAAGAAGTGATCTGCTTTTATGTTCCCAAGGGGATGGGGAGCTCAGACTGCAAAACTCAGAGAGGTCTTCGTCATAGCAGAAGGACAAGCAGACAGCACAGGGCTAAGTTTTGTTCTCAGGCCAGAATGCAAAGGCATTGAGCTGATGATTTCACAGGCATTTCAGTCTTGACACAAATGACTCTTGTCCGGTTACCCAGCCATCTCACCAAAATCTGTGCCTTGACCTACCTCAAGCCCAGCAGCTCAATATGCTGATTCAAAGACGTCAAAGACAAGTGACAGTTTTAAGGCAGGCTTTGTGGCAAGCCAGCAGTGCAGGTGCAGTCACCTCTGGGAAGCCAGCACCTGAGAGAAAGCCAGCAACCCACAGCTCTTGAGCAGGGACTCTCCCCCCACCCACCACAGGCCCCATCTCAATTCTCCTGTGCCACGTGAGGAAGAAGCGCTGTCACTGCAGCAGCTGTCAATAACCTATCCCTTCTCCAGATGAACCCACCACCGCCCACTCCTCGCTACCAGGCCAGACAGTAAGCCAGGCACTGTCTGGGGTACAATTAATTCCCAGTACCTCTGGTTCTGTACACTTATACACCTCTGTACACCTATAAAAAAGTTTGTCTCAGCATGCCTATGGGGTGCCTGCACTTCCAACAAATAGCCCGTTGCCTCTGACAAAGCCACCAGCCAGGCTCCACAGCCAGCACAGATTTCTTGACCTGTCCCAACCCTGAAGCTGAGCCTCCCAACATGCATGTTCCACCATCACCGAAGAAAACCTGAGATTAGAGGGGGATCAGAAGGGAAATGGTCTGGACATCCATGAGCACAGCACAGAAGTGCATCTCGTACTCAGAGAAAACCAATCGCGCTGAACAGGAAATACAGGCGTCCACGCACCCGACGAATGCCACACAACTTGTATTTCAGAAGCAGCGAGCATAGGGGAGCGCAGGAGATTTGAAGAGCTGACTTATTGCCCAGGAGACACTGCCTAGCAGCGTTAGACAGTTTCAGAGCAATGACTTTTCTGCTCCATGAATTTGCACAGCCACACCGGCACGCGCAGACAAGTTGCTACTTCTGGAGAAGCGCACGGCTGAGAGAGGCAAGGTGCTACACATCCGCTGAAAAGCCGTGCGAGGAAAACCACTTGTTGTCCACATATACGCTGTCTTGCTCAAGCTACTAATCATACCCTCCTTGAACAACAGATTTTACACACATTTTTAACAAAGTAAAGGAAAAAATTATCAACAAACTTTCAAGATGCATGAGAGGTAAGGTCCAAGGTCTGTGAAATGAAATAGCTAATGGAACTGAAGCGAGACATGGCAAGTGACAGCAAGACAGGGCGGCCAAATGCTGATTCCAGTGAGACTAATTTGTGAAGCACAGCAAAAAAATTTGTCGAAGTTTCACCTCAAGGGTCACACTTTTTCAAATAGTAATAGAAATGTCACTCCTCTTCTGATCATTGGGATTTGAACAAAAGTATCTGGAACATACCATATTATGTAAGTGTGTGCGTATATATATATATGTATATATAGTATTTGATATATCTTCAGAGTTTGAATCTGTTTGGTTTAACTAGTTCTTTAAAAGGTCAAGAGGTACCAGTCTGTTGGAGGTTTTTAGTTTTCTGGTCTTTTTTTTTAAGATGTAAACAAAGACAAGTGACTTCCTGCAAAAATATTTCACATGTGAAATTGAACAATATCAGATGCACACGTCAGGCAAAAAAATATTTATGCAGGACTAACTCCACTATCCAATATTGGTTCACTACATAGATTGCTGAACTCTCTTTCATCTGTCATCCTAGTTTATGCCAGCAGCTTGAAAAACAAAATAAATCATATTTTTATTAACAGAGGAAACACTGCTTAAATTCAAACCCCTTGTTAGCACTTAACGTTCAACTAAGCCAAAGAAAGAAGCTGTGGTGAAAGCAAACAAATACAAAATGTGAAGAATTTCACTCCATTTACTCCGGGTAAAAGCTGCTCAGCTTGGTCTGACTGCTAAACTGATAACAAGCAGATTCAGCTCTCAAGTAAGTTGTAACTCCCTCTAACGGCAACTGGATGAAGGACAGACTTTGAAAAAATTAGAAGCATCTCACTGCATTTGAAGTGTATTTTCAAGTAGGCAAAAACCTAGTTAGCATGAATGCTTTTGAAAAGCAAAACTTTAGCTAGTGCCCAAAATTCCTTTAAATGACAATAAATTTATTTACATTCTTGGCATAAAACTTCTACGTGCTTTGTAAGATGTGTAATATGTGTTATGTGAAAGTTTACACATTACATAAAATGTGTTTTCTCCAACGTGTTTGTTGCTTTGACAAAGTGTCTTAGAAAAGTACCATGACAGAAGACTCCTCCCATCGAGGAAAAGGGTCCTGCTGTTCAGCAGCACCGCTCCCAACAGAAACACTAAACACGTCCAGAGATACTCACAGAATCAGAAATTCACAGGCTTGGATTTATTCATAGCAAAATAAGCACCTAACCTGTGCCACGAGTGTAATAAAGTCAGAAATTACTACATTCTGGTCACAAATATCAAAGGGGAACTATCCCTAGAAAAGAATAAAAATTAGGAAGAAACCACAGCTCCATTCAACTGACAGCACTGTCTGCAGGATAAAAATGCTAAGGAAGAATTACCAGTTAGCACTAGATGTATTAGCAGTA